GGAGTTCCCGGACGGCGGCGCCCGCCTCAACGCCGCGCACTTCAAGCAGCTCGTCGTCTCGGCCCTGAAGGAGTTGCACGGGGAGGTGCGTGACGCTGCCGCCTCCGGGCCCACGCGGCGGACCTGCCCCCGCGCTGCCGGCACAGCCCCGGGCACCACGCAGGGGTGAAGCAGGTGGCTCCACGGCCGGGTCCAGCCCCTGGGTTTGACACCCCTGGCCAGTCTGGGACCTCAGGCTGAGAGCTTTTAAGCTAAACAGGGTCGAGGGCCTACGTGGACAGGGCTCCCCTGGTGCTTGGTCCCAGCTTTTGCTTTCCACTAGGACCTCTAACCTGGTGTAAAATAATTTCCCTCCTGCCTTCATCCACTTCCTTTCTGCTTCTCCTGTCTCTTTGCCCTTTACTTTGGCCTTTGACTTTAAGAGGCAAAGTTTAACTCGGAGCCTTGCTGCATTTCCTGCCTCAGCATCCATAGTCAGGAGTTGCGTCAGAGAAGTGCAGTCCAACTGAGCTATCCTTTACACTTCAAAAGGAAAACCACAGCAAGCAATGCAGTCCAGTGGACTGCAACGCAAGATGTCCTGATTTGTGTTGCAGATGTCCTGACATCTGCCACTGGACTGGTGGGTGACCTGGGAAAGTTGTTTCATCGGTTCCCTCAGTTCTTTGAACTGAAAAAAGAAACAAATGATACAGGCATCTTTTGTAGAGCCCGTGGAGATCTCTGGATGCAAAGTGCTGTATATGTGGTGGGGTGTACTTGGTAGCCGTGTTGGTCTGAGACAAAAAGACATACAAAAAACTAGAACTCTTGGTTCCAAAATGATACCTTTTATTAAACCAACTGGAAAATGGCAAGAAAATTGTCCTTTTCTGCAAGCTTTCGGGATCAAAGTCCCTTCGTCAGGCTCTGGGAAACGTGTAGATGGTACAAGATGGTAAAAATTCCCTATAGGTAGGAAATAAGCTTCATTTTTGCACAGAGGGAGTTCAAGATGGAAGTCTGTCCTGG